CCGCAAAACACACCACAAGCCTCACCGAACGTCTCCTTGCTACCGCGACCTCGCCCACAGGAAGCCGCGACTGCATGGCAGCAGGGAAAATGGCCACGGCTCTGGTTCGTAAGTAGAGGCAAGTTCGGAACCCGAGGTAAAATTTTCCTGCCGAAGCTGGTCGTAACCCGAAATGTTCGTTAGTAGAGGCATTCATATCCTGAGGTACCACTGTATAAGCATAGATGAAATATTCCAAGTAACTTAAATTAAAAATGATAGGCTTGGATATACGGACATAATATTTGTTCACATAATATCATAATATTTGTTCATAATATTTGTTCAATTTTTAAATACATGTTAATTATTATATTTTATTGTAAACTTACTCATTTTGACTCATTACTCAAGTTCATGCTGCAGTGAGCTATTCTCTAAACTATGCCTCCAAAAACAGTTACTGGTAATGACCAATATGATGCAGCTTCAATTTGTTTAACTCAGTTGCCTGAATTAGAAAGATTCATACACCTTGTTCATTTTTGATGTACAAGGACTGTTTTGTAGTTACCAGGTAGACGATACAATTTATTCTGCTTTTCCATAATAGCAAAATATTCCAGTTATGTGCTTCCTAGATACCAATATTGAATCTTGGTGTTGAATACTGGTTAAGCCTACACGAAATGAAACTTTGTGTAACATCAAAATAAGTACTTTGATTGAATAAGAGAGATAAATCAATGAACAAGTGCTTTGCCAATAAAAGCATAAATATCTAAGCACTTATGAAGCAATATCCCTTCAGGGACCTCAAGACAGCATCTATGACTCTTACTCCACCTCTCCTAAAATCTTACTTCATTCTTGCAGCTCTCTAGGGTAGGCTTTGTTTGCAGGTTTAAAAAAAGTAAATAAGGAAATAACTTTTCCTCTTCTGAAACCATTCTTTAGGATATCAGAAATCAAAGAAGATACAGACAACATCGAAAAGCAGAGTTGGTAAAACTTCAGCAGACACTGAATGCACTCAATTCCAAGAAAGCTTTTTATGAAGATCAAATAAATTATTACAACACTTACATTAAAACATGTTTAGATAATTTGACAAGAAAGTAAGTGAAATCTTTTTTTATTTATAAAGAAAATGCTTTCTACCTGTCATGGCAAAGGTTTGCATTACTGTTATCTGTTAGACTTTATTCAAATCAAAACTCTTCAGTGCTAAACATATTAGAAATTAAATTACTGAATCTTTTAAATATTTAAGCAAATCTGTAGGACATCGGCCCTACAGATGCTTTTAGGATGAACCTCTCAACACAGGCCATGCTGAAACCACTGAAAATTGTTTTCATCATTATCTCGATGATCCCATCTTTAAAATGGAACAGTTTGGGGACCACTAGGGTGCTGTGAAAAAATTACTAAGACACAATGGGTGCTGTGAACTGAAAAGGTTTGGGAAACTCTGGTGTAGAATCATTCTATATGTTTTCAAATAAGCAACTTTATGTGTAAAGCAAGTGATCCGTTCTAGGAGCTCTTGTAAGGGCTTCTAGGAGCTGGGATTATGCAGGGATGGCCAATGTATGTTCTTTAGATGCAGCCTCCAGAACACCCTGAATTTATGCTGATGAAATTCAGCACCAAAATGGCTGGTCCCTGGTGGTGCCATTTTAAATTAAAAAAAAAAAACAGCAAAAAGAGGGACTGGATGTATTAGGAAGCCTTGCAAGTTAAAAATAATTAACGTCACATAATTTATGCTCCCCTACACCCATCTAATGCTCCTACCCCTCCTTTTAGATTCTTTTAGACTCTTGTTTTTTATATATACTTTCTGTTTTAATTCATATATTTTTTATATCTTCTAGCTTCTAATAATTTTTAGATTCCTTTTAGATATATACTTTATATTTTATATCTTTTAGCTTTTTATTATTATTTTTCTGATGTATTTTCTATGTTTTTTAAATTGCCTGTACCCTATCCTCCTTATGCTGGTCTTTGAGCTTAATAAAGATTTGATGATACATTCTTAAAATCTCCAACTCTGAAAACAAAATATTTCTCTAGTAACTACACTGTGTCATGGAACACAGTCCTATGATCCTAGGAGGCCAAAGTATTTTTTTAAGAATATAGCCCCTTCCACAGACTGAAAAAAAGTTGCCTGCTCCATACGCTCCTGAATTAATTATCATTGCACAGCTTTTTTTCCAGAAAGCCCTGAGACAGGGTCAGGTCTTTCGGTATCCAGTCCCAGAAGTGAAACGTTTCGTCCAGGCAGCGAGATATTTTGCAGCTCCTGGCTCACAAAATGGGGGTGGGGGTGATAGTCCTCAGCCCATTCTTACTCTCGCTTTAATTCATTAACACTTAGATTGCCCTTTTAACAAGTTGTGAGTGCCTTTGCTCCTCAAAAAGAGAGAATGTCAGTATAGGGGTTGATATTGGCTTGATAAACTGTTTTAAATTTGAACCTAAGAACATTTGTCTTTATTAGGAAAAAGAAAACATGTCTCCTCTGTGGGTGGCCTAAAATCTGTTTATCTCATTCCATTTTACAGAAATTCACGAAGATCTATTAAATTAAATGGAAAGCAAGAGGAGAAAAGTGGAAACAAACTGAAGAATATTTCACTGAAATACACAGCAGCAAGGCTATATGAAAAAGGAGTTATTCTAGAAATCGATGAACTTCAGCCTAATCAGTAGGTTTTGTATAATTTGTTTATCTATTCAAATGGATTTTGCATTTTAGAACTTAAATCGGTCATTTTTCACAAGTGTTTTGGTTTTAACTCAATAGCATTGTAATGTGAAATGTATTTCTACTTACAAATGATTACTTTTCCTTTTCAAAGGTTTAAGAATGTGATGTTTGAAATTACACCTGGTGAAGAGGTGGGTGACTTTGATATTAAAGCTAAATTCTTAGGCGTGGAAATGGAAAAAGTACAGCTCCATTTTCAGGTAAATTGTGTTTTTCAATCATGTGTGCTTCATTGGAGGCTTTTCTAGACTGAATTTATTGTGGGAATAGAAAGAAAAGAAGTAACTTGTAACATGCATTCAGGCAGCATCTGAGCTACTCAGCAACCCTATTTTGAAATGGAGGACTTTGCAAAGTAGTTTACTCTTATCAATAGGATCTTCAGTTCAAACAATAAAAAGACAGAGTTCCATCAGTCATACCCAGATCAGTTCTTGGATTTTTGCCATGTTTATTATTCATAATCTTTGGGATAAAATTTATACTGCCAAAATGTCAGGAGAACTGATTAGAACAGTGCTTTTCAACTATAGCAACTTTAAGATGTGTGGACTTCAACTCTCAGAATTCCCAGCCAGTGTGGCATCGTAGCCAAGGTAGCCAACACTGGATTAGATAATTCCTCTGACATAACTAGTGACAATCTACATAAGCCTGTATTGTAAACAGTAACATATATTTGTACAACTTTCTTATTGAGATACTTGTGCTTTCCTATAGTACAGGACTTTATTCATTTTTTAAAGTAGTCACAAATCAGCAGTACTCTGCCATCACTACCAAAAGGGCTGCCATGATTTTGGAATCTTACTGGGTTTTGATTTGTTGTTGCGTTTGTGTCTCTTACTTCCCAGTGCAGGAGCACTAATCTTCAAATTAAAGAAAAAAGAACAAGGAAGCAACAACTTTACATCCATTGCAGCAAAAGCAAAGAGGCTGACTCATCAAATGGCTTCCCTTCAGGATAAATTTTATATAAATCATGCATTGTGCAATTGCCTTTCAGTTTTTATTTTATTTTTGCATAAGTACATGGTAGTTGCTGGCTAGTACAACAACATCTGGAGGGTCACATCGAGTGGTCTAAGCAGAATTTAATATTTTTCCTATTGGACAGTCTTCTTGTCTTCATTGTATCAGATATAAATGGTTTTGAGGCTTCTTGACTGCAATCTCCAAGATTGAATTTAGGTGCATTCAGCATTAGGGAAGAGGGTTATGGTGGGGAGGGGTGTCGTGTGTGTACCTGTCTGCACATTTTGCTTGTTTTCCATATGTGTAACTATAAGCATTGGTAATTCTAATTTCAATTTGAAAATACCTTAACTTTTCTTCCTTATTGCAGGACTTGCTTCAGATGCAATATGAAGGCGTTTCTGTAATGAAAATGTTTGATAAAGCTAAAGTGAATGTGAACCTCCTCATTTTTCTGCTGAACAAAAAATTCTATGGAAAATGATTTGCTGCATTTTGCTTCAATCAAGTCCCAGTTCTGGCTATGTGCTTAACTCTTTGAATCTATTATACAGCAGATCATTCTTCAAGACAGCCCAGAAGAAATTACTTGTGTGCCTTTTTCATCCTTTGGTAATATAGTAATAAAATAAGAAACTATGAATCAGCTTAAAACACTTCCTGATTTCTGTGGTGTTGGTACTCAATTAAAAAAGATAAGATCAAATGACATCCAAACATTATATGTCTGATTTTTAAAAATATGGACATTTGAATGACATATATAGAAATCTTACCTCGGTAAAATTATATACCCGTAAATCAATATCAAGTACAGTTTTCCTTAAAGAATTATTCATAGGAAAAATAATTCTTAATATGAGTCTCTAAAGAATAGCTTTGGCAAATATTTCTTAAGTGCTATTTTTCCAGAAGCCTATCAATTGTAAAGTGAATTATTGTACAATTCAAAGTTTTTATAAGTAATAATAAATTTAACATTTACTGTATAAAAATATATATTTTGCAATTCATTCCTACTAAAAATGCACTACTGCCTCAATAAAATCTATACACAGCCTTTTAATTTAAGTGTAAAGAAGTAATTGGAATAGTTATCTGTTTTTTTGCAGTGTACTTGGGGTATTTTAAATAAATTGTGCCTGTCTTTTTTGTAAGAAAACAAAAAATTCACAAATAAAATACAATCAATCATAATCTAGTTAATTTTTAATTTTCTTTCAGTATGTGTAGCTCTTTTATAACTACAGTAGTTGGGAGGATTTAGTAATTATGGTGTAATACTGCTGTGCCTGCTTATGCAAGTAAATCAAGAATTTCCCACTCCATTTCCAGCAATGGGCTATTCCGCTTAAATTTTGCAGTAGCTTAGATAGAACAAGGGTTGACTGGAAAATCAATGTAGTGACCCAGATTTTCTACCATCAATTCCTTATTGTGACGATAGTATTTTGCATCATCAAATGTCTTTTCCTTTTCTCATGATGAATTGTTCAATACAAGGAAAGTTCAGAAAAGTTATTGTGCAACATCAAGAATACTGGAGGAAAGGTAAATTCAAAAGATACTTCCACAAAAATATATAGTAATGATAACAGCACCACCATCGGCATTGACAAATCACCATCAGTCGATTGCAAAAGGCAGCTTTACTTGGGACAACTTATATCCTGAGACGATATCTTTAACACCATCAAACAACAAGATCTGCCTATCCCAGATCCTTGGGAAGGACTTGATAGGTGGATAAAAATGCCAAATCCAGTCTAAACACCTGGCTGACTGTGCGACCAACCATAATAATTTATTAAACTTGTATGCTGTCTGACTCTGAACAACTCTGGGCGGTTCACAATAAAATTATTATAAAATCAATAAAAAATAAAGACAAAAGATGGCAAGCATGATGAAATGAGGAGACTCACTCTCCTTCGCCAAAGGATTGGGTGAAGAGCCAGTTCTTCACAACTCTTCTAAACAACAGCAGAGTGGGGGCCATCCAGATCTTGATCCCTCATAGCAGGGGCAGCCGCTGCTATAGAAAAAGGTGCACTTCCATGGTCCTGAGAGATTATATTGTTTAATTGAAGGAACCTGGACTGGAGCGTGTCAACCCTGCAGCATCAAATTGACTGGGCAGATGTTATCGGAGACAGGCGGTTGCTCAAGTAACCAGGCCCTATGCTGTGTAGGGCTTTATACGTAACAACCAGCACCTTGAATCTCATCCAGAAACAAACTGGCAACCAGTGCAGCTCGCAAAGCAGAGATGTTGTATGGGCAATCTGAGGCATGCCCATTACTGCTTGCACTACTGTATTATGGACCAGTTGAAGCTTCTGGATGATCTTCAAGGGCAATCCCATGTAGAGGTCATTGCAGGAGTCCAGCCGTGAGGTGACTAAAGCATGAAGGGCCACTTGATCCAGGAAAGGGTGCAACTAGTGCACTAGATGGAGTCGTACAAAGGCCTTTGTAACCATAGCTGACACCTGCTCTTCAAGGAAGACCCCCAGATGTGTACCAAGTGCTACCCGATCCAAGGTCAAAGATCAGATATCCCCAGATCTGGGCAGTTGAAACACCACTCAGTCTTGGTAGAATTAAGTCGGAGACAGTTCCTCCCCATCCAATGTAACACACAACTTTTAAATAGATTATTCCAGTCCAATAAGCAGCACCCAAGCATGACCAAAAGACTAAACATGATTTAAAAAGAAAAACATCTAAAAGATTTAAATCCCTTTTTGAGATTTGAGTCTCTTGTTCAGAGTTGTGTTTATGTCTTGGCCCAATTATATTTTTGAAAATCTGGTAAATTAAACCATCCTCAACAGATAATTTGAATTTATCTCGGGTAGTAATAGCACGGTGATCTTTGACAGTCAAAAGGAAACATCTGCTTCTCCTGACTTCCTCTTTTGCAAAGCTATATTGTCCCATGTCTGATTTCACAATTTAGGTTTTCAGTTTATCCAGAGGGGCCTCCTCAAAAGATGGATTTGTTCCTTTTTTTCGTACTACATTTACACTACTTTTTCAGTAACTTCCTGGATTGTAAACAAATACTGCAGAAATTGGGAAAATGGCATTGAGTAATATGAAATAAAAGGAGGTTTGGGGGGTTGGTTTGTTTGTTTCTGCCTTATATTTTTAAACTTATCCTACACTGAGACTCCCTAGTAACTTTTCCTGGTGGTGGTTTTAATTTTCACTGTGAAGGCAGTCCTGAACCTACCTTTCATGCATAATGCTAAACACATTCTAAAATAGACACATCTTCTACATTGGGAGTAGTTTAGAATTTGTGAAATCAATCAATGGTGGCCTAGTCAGCAAACAAGGGCTAGACAAACTCTAGCATGATGCCTAAAGAAAATAAACCACCTCTATTGAAGTGCCCCATTCATGGAACTCCTCCCTAATATACCTGATGTTATCTTTACTGTCTTTTCAGTGCATTTTAGCTGATAATTCTTTAACATTTTAATTATTATTCTTTGTATTTTAAGGTTGTACAGGTAGTCCTCGGGTTACAACCCTAACTGGGACTGGAATTTCCATCACTAAGCAAAGCTGTCATCATCACATGACCAGCTGCTTAGCAACAGCAGTTACGGTAATCCTGTCTTTGGTCATTAGGAGAGGACCACACACTTCTCCTGCCCTGCATGAACTGCCTCTGCTTCAACTCCCCCCACCCACCTATCTCTCCCTCCATCTCTGCCCTTTCAGCCACCCTGCACAGCATGATTGAGATGAAGAGGCCACTGTATTCCACCACCGCCCCCAGCTGACCATTGTTTTCTTCACCTCATCTCCCCTCTGCTGGGCTTGCCTCTGCCTCCCTGCCCACCAGGCTCCTGGCAGGCCTGCCCCATTTCAGCAATCTCAGTCTGCTGCTGGCTCGGGGTCATACATGCATGCTGGCTGCTGCCGCCAACCCCACCACCATCCCTGTCTTCTTGCTTCGCTTCCCCTCAGCTGAACTTGCCAACACTGACCAGCCTCAAACCCCATGGCACAGGGCTCTGTCAGCACGGGGCTCACCTCCAACTCCCCAGCCACCAGGCTCCTGGCAGATCTGTCCCACTCAGCAGTCTCAGCCTGCCACTGGCCAGAGGTCATGCATGCATGCTCGCTGCCAACCCTCACCACCACCGGCATTGGTGAGCCCAGCAGAGGAGAGGCAAGGTGAAGAAGATGATGGTCAGCTGGGGACAGCAGGGGGCATCCGTGGGTAGGCGGTGGCAGAACACAGCCTCTTTATCTTGGCCATGTTGTGTAGGGCAGCCAAAAGGGCAGAGATGGAGGGGGAGGTAGGCAGGTGGGGGGAGTTGAAGCAGAGACTGCACAGGGCAGGAGAACATGACTGCAGGATGCTGTGACGATCGCAAATGCAGGCCAGTCACCAAGTGCCCAAATTTTGATCATGTGACCGCAGGGATACTGCAATGGTTGTGTGATGAGTAGTTGTAGGTCCATTTTTTCAGCACCGTCATAACTTCGAACAATTGCTGAACATATAGTTATAACCTGAGGACTACCTATATGACTATTTGGTGGTTTTGGATCCAGTTAAAGGAAGGGACTTAAAGACATGGCTCTGCCATCTGGCCTGGGGCAGGGAGGGAAGAAATCAGAATTGGGGTTGGCTAGCAGATTTTCTTAGATTTGCCAACATTAGCAGATTTTCTTAGATTTGCCAACATTAACTATTTTACATCCATTATAAAGAGTCCATGGGAATGTTGGCAAATCTAAGAAAATCTGCTGCATGTTTTTTAGTATGTTGTAAGCCGCCCAGAGTCCCCCACTGTGGGGAGATGGGCGGGGACAAATTAAATAAATAAATAAATAAAAATAAACCTCCCAGGTTCAGAGCCAGTATGCATTAACTCAGTTTCTGAGAACAGTAAGGGAAAAGATTACAAGCTTCTTTCCCTGACACCATTTGTAGGTTGGCCACTGGGAAACCAAATGCTTTGATTACACGTTACCCTAAAATTTAAAAACTATTTTACATCCATTATAAAGAGTCCATGGGAATGTTGGCAAATCTAAGAAAATCTGCTGAAATGTTGCTGGAACTTAGCAATGAAAGACCCAAAGTTATATTTTAATTGTATACACTTTTAAATACATTTGGATTCAAAATAAGGGAAATAGAGAATCCCAAAGACTCCATATATGACCAACCACAATTATTTTTTTTAATATATTTCATCAGCTGATACACTAACAGTAACAGAAGGCATGTTATGGTACCAGCCTTAAACTTCTGTGTGTGTGGGCTTAGACACAGATTCTATTCAGTATTGCAATTGGCATGAACGTTATGCTAGATCAGTTGTAAGTGGGAACACCACTAACACAACATTACCCGTACAAATTATTTTTTGCTTTGCAAATGACAGGTGTAGTTGTTGGACTTTGCCTCCACATACCTTCCCATACGCTGACACTGGAGATGAGGTCATGGATACCATTGAGAAAAAAACCTTAGTGATAGCTCTCCTATTGTGAAATACTCTCCCTGAAAACATTGGTGGGTACCTCCCTTATTTTCCTTCTGGCAACAGGCAAAGACCTTTTTTCATTATGTCAAACTTCAGATGCAAGTTTCTTCCTGCCATTATGAGTCTGAAAAAAATTTCGGTTCATTATGTCTTTCGTGTTGGCATCGCCAAACAAGTACGATAATGCTAGCTTCCCCCACTCACCCCCCCCCTTCCTTGAAAGGGGACAAACTGGGGGCAACGGCGAGAGGCGAGAAGCAGCATCTCTCCAGCCTCCCTCGCGGTTTGGGGCGGAGGTTTCCAGGGGAACCTCCCTCGGCCTCGCAAGACGACGCGCTTCCTTTCTCCACAAGGCAGAAGGAGTTCGCTGTGCGCGGCCGCTCCTTCGGTCCTCGCCGGCAAAGGCGGCCATGGGGCAGCCGCTCGTCCTGGTCACGCTGGGCTGGGTCGCGGTGCTGGTCCTTCCGTTGCATTCCTTCTCCTCGCCGCAGAATGGTAAGGCTGAGGCTGAGGCTGAGGCTGAGGCTGAGGCTGAGGCTGAGGCTGAGGCTGAGGCTGAGGCTGAGGCTGAGGCTGAGGCTGAGGCTGAGGCTGAGGCTGAGGCTGAGGCTGAGGCTGAGGCTGAGGCTGAGGCTGAGGCTGAGGCTGAGGCTGAGGCTGAGGCTGAGGCTGAGGCTGAGGCTGAGGCTGAGGCTGAGGCTGAGGCTGAGGCTGAGGCTGAGGCTGAGGCTGAGGCTGAGGCTGAGGCTGAGGCGGGGGTGTTCCTGCCAGACGGGAAACGCGGGATTGAGGGTGGTCGCGGCGGGGGCAGTTCAGCCATCTTTCCGAGCACGAACAGGGACCCTGCGCCGAGTCGCCGTGCTGGTCGCCCTGCGAGCGGCGCGGCTGCAGGTCGCCCACGGGGCACTTCTATATGCCCGGTAATGTTCGCAGTTCCTTGAAATAAACTCTCTTTGATATGGAAACGCCTTGGGACTGATGAAAGGCGAACTCGGCCGGGCTTGTTCCTCACCCTGTGCTTTGAACTTTGCCTAGCAGCAAAAGTTGACTTTTCCACTCCCTGACCCACCTTTGCTCACGGGCATGGCTAAACAAACTCATAAAGTCCTGATTATATACGTCTGATGGCTTAGGAATACTACTGACATTTCGATTTTGTTTATTTCTTTTAATCTATCCTACCTATTGCTGCTTTCGAGAGAAACCCGAAGAGCTATTTTTGAGCTGTCTTTACTGTGGTTTCCTCTCACTTCTTCAGTAGATGTTTTGCAGCAGCCTTTCCCCACCCATCACTCCCCAGATGCATTGGACTACATCTCCCATTTTCTTTGGGTAACACAAACCTTTGGGCAGGAAGGGATTTGTAATCCAATTCATTTGGAGAATGAGGATTTAGAGTAAGCTGCTTTAGAGCGTGATTCTAGATATTTCTCCTCCAAAGCAAATACTTTGTCGAATTTGATCCTTGCTAAGAATAAGTGTGAATTCAGTTCTACAAGTCTATGAAATCAGTTTTGATTTTTCTCTCTGTGATAACATTAGACTTTGGGGTCACCCAGTGATTCCCAGCTGTGGGAGACAAAAGGAAGTGTTCCTTCACATAAGCATGTTGTTAAACTGGAATTAACAAAGAGTAGTGATAGCCACTAACTTGAACAACTTAAGTAGTTGTTACTACTTAGAGTATAAGGTTATTGATAGCTAATAATAATGGGGATTTATTACTTCAGTTGTCAAAGCCAGTTGTATCCCTAGTACTGGGGATATGACTAGGAGAATGGTGATGTGCTTATACATGGCTTGTAGGCTTGAAAAAAGCATATGGTTTATTTATTTATAATATCTGCAAATTGCCCCAATCGTTATCTAGGCAAGATACCTCCCTCCCCCGCCCCCAAAAAAAACAATTATCAAAACCAAAAATGTACATATTCATCAGACAGTAGAATAATTTATGGTCACCCAAAACCATCCAAAGTGAAAGGCACACTGGAACAGGATGGTCTTCAGAACCTTACAAAATGCAGAGGGTTGGGAATCAAACCTTCAGAAAGAGTATATTCCAAAGCATGAGGATTACTACTGAAAGGCCTGCCATCTGGAACATATCCCACGCAGCTCCCACGGGGATAGGGCCTTCAGGAGACCTGCTCTAGAAGTTCAGGCCAGACAAGCAGAATCATCAGTTTGACAGTTTGTTGAATAATCTTCAACAGTAGATTATTGGGCAAAGGCTAGATTGGACATTTGGTATAATTTAGCATGCCTTTTCTTATATTTTGAGTTTTGTTTGTTAAGAAATATCTTTCAAAGCTACTGAGTTATGAAGAGTGGTAAAGAACTCTGGAACTTTCAGTCTTCTTGAATTTCATTACGAGTGATGGGAGATAAGCAGCCAGATGTGAAAAAAAAAGGCACTTTTTTAGATTAACTTGTTTTGGTTCTTCAGCAGAAAAAGTATTATTTAGCTTAACTAGTTTTTTTAAAATATTTTTGAATAAGAGCATGTGATTTCTTTGATAAATAGATGTTGATATTTGTACTGCCATGAGATTGTTATAGCTTAATCTCCTGGATTTTGTAACAAATCATTTGAAGCCAGGGTTTTAATGAAGACAAGTGAAGAACTTCCTCCTCTACCTAGTCAGTTAACTTCAGTGGACTGGAAACTTTGTCACACAAGAGGAACTGAAAGAACGGGATGTATTTAGAATCCGGAAAAAAACACTGAGGGATGTCAAATAGAAGACGATCAAAACCTGTATTCCTTAAAGTCAGATTGTAGAGCATAAAATAATGACCTCAGGCAGATTCCAGTTAAACAAACTTCCCAACAGGAAGAAGAGTTTGACATAGAGATCAGTTATCAAAAAAGCCATTGTACTTTACAGGATATGTTCAAGTATACTTTTTTTTTTAAAGTATGTATTTTTAAAAAGTATGGATCAGGTATGTAGATGACATCCTTGTCATATTAAAAAAGGAACAACTAGAGAAGACACATGAAGCAATCAACAACACCTTCAAAGAAATAAAATTCACAAGAGAAGAAGAAAACCACACACTACCCTTCCTGGACATCAGCAGCAGCAGCAGCAGAAATGACGGCAAACTAGAAACACGAGTCTATCAGAAAGCAACCCACGCTAACCAAGTTCTCCACTACCAAAATAACAACACAACTTCCCACAAGAGGAGCTGTGTAAGAATGTTATTAAGATGAGCATAAACATACTAAAGCAACCCAGAACCCCAGAAAGAGGAAACAGACCACCTATATAACATCTTCCAACAAAATGGATACCCATGCAACTTTATCAGAAAGTGCCTGACCACACAACCCACTACAGCACAAGCAGTACAACCTATGAAAAGGATAACATTCCCATACATCAAAAACTTCTCAGAAACAACCAACAGACTATTACAACCATATGGCATCACTATAGCACACCAACCAATTAAAGCCCTCCAGAACATCTTAAACAAAACCAAAAGACCCAATAGCTCAAGAAGAAAAAAACAGGGGTCATCTACAGTATACAGTGCAAGGATTGCAACAGCCACTATGTAGGACAGACAGGCAGAAGACTAGCAGAGCGCATCCATGAACACCAACTAGCTGTCAGAAGATTTGACGAAAACTCCTTAATCTCACAACACATGGACATACTCAGCCACAGTTTCAAATGGGAAACTATTACATCTTAGACCAAAAAGCCAAATCCAAAAATACTAGGAAATTCCTGGAAGCTTGGCATTCAGACAAAATGGCCAACAGTAGACACATGGAGATAAATTACATTTACACATCATTTCAATAAAAAACCTAGGACAAAACAAAAAGACTACAACACATCCCCTCCAGCAGCCCACGTTCAGATAAGCAGGGGTCAGTATTAATGCTGACTGACCAAAATACAGTCCATCTCCTGAATCTAGCAGTGCAGTAAAAAATACCTGGAGGCTGGTGAGGATTCATGCAACTGGTAGCATCAATGCCACTTTTAAGACCAAACTTGCCTTTTGTGTCTGTTTAGTAGTTTGATGAATGCTGGCTTAGGAAACATGCTAGATTACAGATCCTCTTAAGGGTGAGATTAGTTTTTGTTGGTTTATTTTTTTCCCCATGGGCTTTTATGCAGCTTCAAGCAATATGAATCTAAGCAACATGTAGCAAACCATTATGACAATGATAATCAGCATAAATCAAATAATATTATAAACATCATTTCAGTGGCATAAAAACTATCTCAACCCATCATTAATAGCCTTATATCCTCACCATTATTTTTTCACGTACTGTGTATATTCCCAGAACTTTCACCCCACAGTTGATACTCTAAATTGTACCTCATAAAGAAGATACTCTACTTCCTTTCTGAGGTCTTATTATGATACAATAATTGTTAACATTTCTACCAAAGGTGGTAGAGCACTTCTTTTCCCTTTCCCTTTTACCCTTACCTCAAAGTAACTGCAACTGATGGCAAAAGATCAAAACTCTGTAAAAGAAAAGTGAAAGCACTTAGAGTTTTTGTGGGTACTTCTTTTTTTAAGTCACATATTTCTTACTAGATGGATAGATTTATGATAAAATCTGAATCATGACATCAATTATCCTCTTCTAGAAGTAAGAGAGCAACAGGTCTGAATGAGATAATGACCAGCAGCTCATTAGCAGCAGCCTTCTCTAAACAAGAGGATTTTGCTTTAGATCCCTCCATGAATGGTGTTTGTGCAGCTCCAAGTTCCACAAGATCTGCTCCTTTAGGCAGTTGAGCCAATTCATTTCTCAGTAATGGTTCAGCATGAGACATCCAACCTGGATTTGCTGTTGAGGCACTGGCAGTCTGTGGAACTTGAGGGTGGATTCCCATTGGTGGAAGATCTTGCCTCATCGTGACTTCTGGGCTTTCTCACTTCCCTATAAAGGTAATTTTGATTAGCAGTTTTCAACTGTTCTAAACTGAGCAAGGGGAGAGTGCCTTGACAGCTTTGCAGCCCCCTCTCTGATTATAAATGCTCATGATTTAAAAAGTAGAAAATGTCTAGAAAAGACTCCATGGATGAGAGGTGGGAAATAATTGAGACTAAGACAGTTCTTCCTTAGTCTATCACAGGATAGCTATTGTAGGGAAAAATAGGAGGAGGAAGTGCTGTGTTCATGGCCTTGAGCTCCTAAATGAAAGGGAGGATAGAAATCTAATCAATCAATCAATCAATCAGTCATGTTTGTCTGCTTTAAAGCCCTCATACTGATATACAAACAGGCAGCCATAGAAATCAAACAAACAAACAAACAAACAAATAAGTAAATAGGATTTTTTTTCAATTTGAATTGAAAAATGTGTTTAAATAATCTGGTATATTATCTTATTAGTATTCAGCAAATAATAAAATATATGACTATTGCATAGATATTAAAAAAACTGAAAGTGTAAAAGAAAAAAGGTAGAAAGAAAGTACTGCAGTGTGTATAATGATATTATGCTGGAAATGTTTTGCTTACAACAGTACCATGCTAATCATATAAGAGATATGTGAACTAGAAAATGTAATGCTAGCAAAACTGAATCTTTAAACTCTAAAATATTCAGTTCAGTTTTAACCTACATATATTCCAGTTAAAAAACTATTAATGTATAATTCCCTAATACCATACACTTTTTTTCTTTCCTTTTAGGATCTTCTTCCAAAAATGACACTAGGCCAGGACCAAGATCCTTTGCCTTGAGAGAAGAGGAAAAATATGAACCAATTCCACTTTCAGATAATGATGCTGAAAATGCTTTGGAAATTGGGTCAGGATCTAGCAGTCAAAACAAAACGCAGATTCTTCCAACGTATCGTCTGTCAAAAGATGCGGAACAGTTCCTGTCTGGCGGGTGGCTGACCGTTTTCGTTCCAGCAGTCTATACTCTGGTGGTGTCCCTGAGTCTTCCTCTGAACATCACGGCGGTTCTTCTGTTCTTGCTAAAAATGAAGGTGAAGAAGCCGGCTGTAATGTATATGCTCAACTTGGCTTCTGCAGATATACTTTTTGCGAGCGTGCTTCCGTTTAGGATTGCCTATCATTTTTCTGGAAACCATTGGCCTTTTGGATCTGCCGTGTGCCGCTTTGTCACTGCCACGTTTTACTGCAACATGTACTGCTCCATTCTGCTGATGACCGTGATCAGCATCGATCGTTTCTTGGCGGTGGTTTACCCCATGCAGTCCCTGTCCTGGCGCACCCTCCGGCGCGCCTCTGTGGTTTGTTTTGCCATCTGGCTTGTCTCTATTGCTGGAGTGGTGCCTCTGCTTACCACTGAGCAAACAAAGCACATATCTTCTCTAAACATAACAACTTGCCACGATGTACTGCTTGAAGAAGAACTCAAAGGATATTATCTTATTTTTTTCACTATTTTCTGTTCATTTTTATTTTTTGTGCCATTAATTGTTTGTACGGTTTGCTATGTCTGTATCATCTGGTGTCTTAGCTCTTCAGACATTGCTGCAAAACCGGGTAGAAAGACACGAGCTTTACTGTTGTCTGTGGCCGTTTTCTTCATTTTTATTATATGTTTTGGCCCCACAAATGTTCTCTTGCTAGCTCATTATATACATTTTTCTTACAACAACTACACGGGCAATATATATTTTGTTTATCTCCTCTGTGTCTGCATTAGCAGTGTAAGTTGTTGTATTGATCCTTTGATCTATTATTATGCCTCTTCTGAATGCCAGCGTCACTTGAGCAATTTGTTGTGTTGCAGGAAGGACTCTGAACTCTGCAGCCTGAGCTCCAATAATCCTCTGGGGAGCAGGACAAGCCACAGGGCTACTTGCACCAGTACAATTGATAACAGTCTCTACCGAAAATTACTAGCATAGATACATTTTTTGGTATTTCTGGGGTATTTGGCTCTGTTTTAAAAACACTGCTGTGAGGAATATTCAGACATAAACATTCTTTATATAATCAGTCTGTTTTATTAACCTAAAGCCTGCCACTATAAGGGTTGCAGTAAGTGGGGAGAGCTATCAGAAATCTTAGGGAGACTGTAAATAGTATGTGTGTACATCTATCCATCCATCTTTATTTAAGATAAAAAATTGAACACAAATTTGTAAAATGCTGTTAAACTCTAATGAGAGTTTGTCTTTTCTAAGACATGTTGTAGGATGAGTTGTCACATTTTCACAACAGCTACACAGAAGTTGGCTGCCCTGAGAGGTATGGGAATACACACATCCATTTTGTATCCACATCACTCTTTCTGAGATTTCTGCCAGAAAGATCCAGGCAATCTCTCATCAAGTATGGTTTTTCTCCCGCCACTTCAGAGCTGTATTCTTCTGTGAGTATCAGTGACAAGCCAGGAGGCATACAGATTAATGAAAAAGGATGCACCGAGGGGATCCACAAAATAATTCTTTCTTTGTGATTTCACATATTTTGAAAAAATCAAGCCACTGTTTGCATAGCCCTGTTACTTTATGAGCATAGTGCTTTCCTGGGTTCTAGGTAAAATGCTGAGAACTAATGTGCATAGATTTGAAGACACAGTATAGCCAAACTCAATAAAACCTGGATCTGTACTTGCTGAGTAAACAGTATTATTGTTATATATTCTTTATCTATGAATTTGTGTGTATATATGTGTGTATGTTATATGCATATACAAATCTGTTACTTCATAATTTTTCGCTCTGTTAAAGCTGTGCAAATGCTGATGGGCACAGCTGTTTTATATTTTACTTTTGAAAATTGAGTTACACTCAGTTAATAAATGTGCAAGTGGTCTTTGTGTCTGCGAGTTTCTGTTAATTCATAATTCAGAAACCAAATTCCAAGACTACTGAAAATGAGCCACAAGTTAAATTAAGAAAAAATATATACATTTAGATAATGCTACTGTTTTATCAATGTCCAAACCAATTCCTAAAGTTTCCTAATGAGTCTTCAGAGGGAAAGCAAATGGTACTGTGAAGATTTGTCCAAAGCTGAGCAGAGGGTGTTATGGGATTGTATCAGTGTAGCACCATACTTCCCCATGCTGGCTGGGGAATTCTGGGAGTTAAAGTCCACACATCTTAAAGGCTCTGAGATTGAGAAACACTTGTAGTATTTGAATGCACATTTCCCATATTACCTTCAAATATTATATACAGAACTCTGTATATTTGTTCACAAGCAGATACTTCCAGACATTGTGATGACTACATATGAGAGTTAAATGGTTGTGAGAGACACAGTCATGCTGACCTTCTTACTGTGCACAAATGTATGTCCAGTAGTGTTAAAAAGAATTCCCTGAATTTTAGGCTTTTGGGTCCAGTTGCTCCTTTTGGCCACTAGAGGCTGCCATAGCTATAGAAGAATTAACCAGCAAGCTTTCGTGAGTGCAAAGAACAGTGTGGAGAATGAAACAGTAATTACAAATAGAGGTAGCAGCAGTGCGCTCCTGGATTATAGCTGTATGATTTACCTTTTGCTTTCTCACAGTCATATTTTATAAGATTTGCTGAGAAAATACAATGAAAAGATGCAGCCATGGTCAACAAACAACAAACAATTGTGTTCAACAAGCATGGGGCAGTGAGATCGACAACTTTACTCCGTGTTGCCATTATTCTTTGTAATGGTGTGCTACCCTGCACTGTCTAAATCTGTGTTTCTCAAACTTGTGTTTCTCAATTCCCCATGCTGGCTGGGGCATTCTGGGAGTTGAAGTCCACCCATCTTAAAGTTGCCAAGGTTGAGGGACACTGGTCTACACTGTTGCTGGTCACTTACAGGTTTTATAACCATCTGCAAGTCACTCCACTGATTATGTCACTCTGGCCAAACCGATTTCCACAACTAGCAGCTGAATGTTTGAGTCACCTCCCGATCTCTTGAGAGGGGATCCAACTGTTCAGATACACCTTTCCTCATAATTCACAATGCAAGGTTATTGCAGCTGGGCTAGGAAGAGTATAGAAACAGCTGTATAGAAACAGCTGCCTTTTGCAGTGATATGCCCTCCCCAGTACATTTTGCCATCTTTCTCATTGCTGAAAAAGGTAATTTCCAGGATCATTGACAGAGAATGAATATCATTATCTTCCCAGGGTTCCTAATCTTTCTCCATCTGTCTCACCACTGGCATTGAGGCTCCCTGAAATGCTGGACCTTCTCTTAATGATATAACTAGGAACCCCATCATCCAAATTTAACTCTCTGATTGAGACATTGTTCAACTTAAAAGAGAAAATGGCAAACTTTACCCAAAGATGTGCACTCATGTACTGTTGTTTCAAAAGAAAAAAAATTATTGCAATTTTTAAATTTATCCTTTCATTCAAAGATTGGCTTTATCATTTCTATAAGCTTAGCTGGCTGCCATTGCAACATTTCATGCACCATTATAACAAGTCCCTGTATTTTCCCATCCTCTCGTGAGACAGTTCTTAAAAGGCATGACCAATTTATTCTCACCTGGGCTCTCCATCTCTGCCCCATGGAGATTTTGCTTCTTTCTTTGCTTCTGCACTTCTTTCTGTCTTTATTATAAAGCCCTTGATTCTATGTCTAGCACAAATTAGTTAGCTTCTCTGCCAACAGACCAGCTGTTCGTGATGTTTTTTCCAACAGACACAAAAAGTTCAGCAACAGAGAAGGCAACTCTCATGGGTTCCATAAGTTGGCATCATTGAAACCCAAAGCATGCCAACCTGGTCAGATCCTATAGGATGGGCAGAAACAATTGGAGAAAGATGGTCCACAAATATGCCACGTAAAGTTTTATAGATAACGATCAGAACCTTGAGTTGCACCTGGAAGCCCACTGATAACTTGCGTAACAGCCGTTGCATGGATGTTCTGAGGTATTCTGGACTAGTTGAAGCTTCCAAATGATCTTCAAGGGTAGGCTCCATGTAGAGTGGGTAATATACATGCAAAGTGACTAGAGGAATAACCTTGGTCCAGGAAAGGGTGCAATTGGTGCACAAGACAAATATGTGCAAATGCTTTCCTGGCTAGAACTGTCAGCTGCTCCTCAAGTAGGAGCTGTGAGTCCAGGAAAAAGCCCAAATTGTGCACCAGTTCCATCTGTGGAAGAAAAGTGCAACTCCTTCTAAAATTGGTAAATGGTCAAAATCTGATGATCCATGAGCCGACAGCCCCTTGATCTTGCTAGGGTTTAAGCCTGTTTTTTTTCCCCGTCCAGACTCTAACAGCCTTCAGGCACTGTGACAGAACTTTGACAGCATCACTTGGCTGCTGCCAAGTGAGTTTACCCAGCAGCTTCATGTAGATCTTAAAAAGGAGGAGGAAAAGCATTGAGCCCTGAGAGATCCCACAAACCAAGGGTCTCGGGCTTGATCTCTCCCACCCTATCAACACTGACTGGGACCAAGCATGGAGAACCTCCATAATACCTGTCCCATGCTTCCAGTCCCTGTAACTGGTCCAGAAGCAGATCATAAAATCTAGTATAAAAATAGCAAGGATGGTAGCTCCTTTGATTGACTTATTGATTGATATTGATTAAGTGCCATCATGTTGGTGTCCTCTCCTAGAGACAACACAGATATTCTCCTGGAGGTAGCTCCTTCAGAGGTTATTAACTTGGTCAAGTTTCATCTGGTTTTCTTCAATGGCTTCAGTGCAATCTTTTTAAAAAAATATTCCCCCTGTACTTCTTTTCAGGCAGAGATAGCAGGGATATGCAAAGAAGAGACTAACAGAAGAGAATATATGTAGCTCAGGGTTGATCTGTGGAGTCAGTGTTGGCGGCAGGGCAAGCTACTGTATATAAACAGGGAGCAAACCCCACATTCACTAGCAATGATGATGTTACCCAGTCAGGTAATAAAACGTCTGCAAGTAGACAGCCAAGCTCAGAGAGCACCAAGGACTCCGAAGAAGAGACCAACAGCTTCCAAATTGTCCAATAAAGATTCCAAGTTATAGTGAAGCAATGCATAGTGTCCTTTCCTAAGTTAAAAAATGAAAATGCTTACTTTACTTGCTTACATTAAAAGTAAGCTCTTATTTTTCTACTTACTTTTTTGTGGTCCCAGACTTGCTATAACAGTGAAAATGATAACTGACTTGCCCAGCATGGCTGGCTGGGGAATTCTGGGAGTTGAAGTCCACATATCTTAACGTTGCCAAGGTTGAGAAACACTGCTCTAAGTGTTAGCTTGGCATTCATTCCTTCACTGTCAGAAGATTTTAAAGCATCCCAATCATGCATAATTCAAAAGTAAGGTATGACCCAAGGGTGTCTCCTGGGTTGGCCATCCTCTTATGAGCTGTTTTGAGAGGACAACACATTAGGACATTCCATTGGCCCAAGGCAGCAAAGTTAGAGCTTGCGGCTGACCACATTAAAGAAGCTGAGTAAACAAAGCCCAAAGCAATGTTAATTTTTGGTGGACACATCATCCCTGTTTCCAATTAGAAACTGTTTTCTTCATAATGCAGAGTTGAGTAGGGATCACCAGCTGTCCTATTTTCCAGCTCTATTCTGCTGTTGTTATGTACAAAAAGAGTTAAGGCTGGATTTACCAAAGAATTTCTCCCTTTGGGACCATCTATGCTAATTACTCACACTATTGTTTCCAGTAGCTCTGGAATGTTCTGTGTCTTTGGATGTATAAATATAGAGATATACAGTCAATGTAAATTGTCACCCGTTGTTCATGTTTTTCTCTCTTCCTGCTTTGGCCTGCCTTAGAACCCATGTTTTCCAGTTAACTTTTTGATGTTTGTGATGTTTAATAAATCAACATCAAGCTATATATTGTAGTGGCAATGCGAAAGACCATTGTTATTTCGAGGAGTTTAGGTGACATAATTTGATTTCTCCTGCACACATGTTAAAGTTCACTTTGAATCATAATAATGTTGAGTTGGTTTGTTTTTCACTATTACTTCGAAGTGGGTGGGGGAAACCCTCAGGGTTGTTTAGTTAAGCACGAGCTTATCTGCACAGTTCCCAGGCTCTTGATTCACATGATGAGCAGGTATAACATCTGCTCAAGGTCACTCTCACAGCCCCTGACTCCATAGAAACAGAGTGATAGGACTGCAGTGCCAGACTTTGATGAAAAGCCCTGGCCTTGCCCCTGGAGTTTGGAGTGTGGACACAGGGCTTGGGATTAGGAGCTGTGTTATCTAAGCCAGTGTTGTCCAAACTTGGCTACTTTAAGATGAGTGGACTTCAATGCTTCATGCTGGCTGGGGAATTCTGGGAGTTGAGGTCCACTCATCTTAAAGTGGCCAAGTCTGGACAATACTGATCTAAGCCATTTCGGGGTCTCTCTGCTGTCGCCTTATGGTAGCTCTTGACAGTAGGGGAAGAGTTTTATCATCTTGCTTGGTA